TTTTGAGATGGAGTTTTGCATTCTTTATTTATTTTTATTTTTTGAGACTGAGTTTTGCTCTTGTTGCCCAGGCTGGAGTGCAATGGCACAATCTTGGCTCACTGCAACCTCCGCCTCCCAGGTTCAAGCAATTCTCTTGCCTCAGCCTCCCGAGTCGCTGAGATTACAGGCATGAGCCAACACGCCCAGCTAATTTTTGTATTTTTAGTAGAGATGGGGTTTCACCACGTTGGCCAGGCTGGTTTGGAACCCCTGGCCTCAAGTGATCCACCCGCCTCAGCATCCCAAAGTGATGGGATTACAGGCATGATCCCACCACGCCCGGCCTCTCTGTTTTCTATTTAATTGATTTCTGCTTTGATCTTTACTGGTGCCCTTCTGCTGACTTCGAGTTTCATTTGCTTGGGTTTTTCTCGTTTCTTTGGAGCTGAGCTTGTTGATGTGAGTCTGTCTTCAGTGTGCGTATTCAGTGTTGTTGGTTTCTAAGTACTGCTTTAATGGCATCCCACTGTTTTGGATATGGTGCTTTTCCTTTGCATTCTGTGCAATATATATATGTATATTTTACACGGAGTCTCTCTCTGTTACCCAGGTTGGAGTGCAACCCGGCTAACTTTTGTATTTTTAGTAGAGACAGCGTTTCGCCATGTTGGTTAGGCAGGTCTTGAACTCCTGACCTCAGGTGATCTGCTCACCTCTGCCTCCCAAAGTGTTGTGATTACACTGTACCTGGCCTGTTCAACATAATTTTTAATTTTCCTTTTGTTTCTTCTTCAGTACATGGGAAATTAAGGGGGATTATTTAGTTTCCAAATACTTGAGGATTTTTCAGATATCTTTCTGTTGTTAATTTCTTTTTTTCTTTTCTTTTCTTTTTGAGACGGAGTCTTGTTCTGTCACCCAGACTGGAGTGCAGTAGCATGATCTAGGCTCACTGCAACCTTCACCTCCCGGTTTCAAGCGATTCTCCAGCCTCAGCCTCCTAAGTAGCTAGGACGACAGGCATGTGTCACCATGGCTGGCTAATTTTTGTGTTTTTAGTAGAGATGGGGGTTTCACCATATTGGTCAGGCTGGTCTTGAACTCCTGACCTCATGATCTGCCTGCCTCAGCCCCCCAAGGTGCTGAGATTACAGGTGTGAGCCACCATGCCTGGCTGTTGATTTCTAATATAATTCCACTGTGGTCAGAGAATGTGCTTTGAGTGACTTGAATCCTTTTAAATATATTGTAACTTTTGGCCAGGTATGGTGGGCCATGCTTGTCATTCCAGCTACTTGGGAGGCTGAGGCAGGAGAATTCCTTGAACCTGGGAGGTGGAGGTTGCCGTGAGCTGAGATCGTGCCACTGGACTCCAGCCTGGTTGACAGGGCAAGACTCTGTCTCCAAAATACATATATAAATAAAATAATAAAAAATATATATATATTGTAATTTTTGGCCTAGAAAATGGTGGACTGTCCTATAAAAGTCAGTTTGTTGGTAGTGTTGCTCAAGTTGTCTATATTCCTAATGTTTTTTGTCCACCTGCTGAGCTGGGAGAGGAATGTCTGACATCTTAGAGTGTAATTGTGGATTTTACCATATTCCTTCAGTTCTATCAGTGCTTGCTTCCTGGATTTTTATTATCTGTCATTAAGTCCATATACTTTTAGGGTTTTTATGTCCTTTGGGTAATTTAAAAAAAAAAATTTTTTTTTTGAGACTGAGTCTTACTCTGTCACTAGGGTGGACTGCAGTGGCGCAATCTTGGCTCACTGCAACCTCTGGCTCCCCGGTTAAAGCGATTCTCCTGCCTCAGCCTCCTGAGTAGCTGGGATTATAGGCATGCACCACCATGCCCGGCTAATTTTTGTATTTTTAGTGGAGTCGGGGTTTCACCATGTTGGTCAGGATGGTCTCGATCTCCTGACCTCGTGATCCCCCTGCCTTGGCCTCCCAAAGTACTGGGATTACAGGTATGAGTCACTGCACCTGGCCAGGATTTTGCCAATTTATCATGAAACGATCTTACTTACCTCTGGTTATATTCTTAGCTCTGAAATACACTTTGGCTGATAGTAACGTAGTCACTCCAGATTTCTTCTTCCTTTTTACTTTTTGTTTTTTCTGGAGATGGAATCTTGCTCTGTTACTCAGGCTGGAGTGCAGTGGTATGATCTTGGCTCACTGCAGCCTCCATCTCCTGGGTTCAAGCAGTTCTCCTGTTCAGCCTCCTGAGTAGCTGGGATCACAGATGCCCATCTCTACACTTGGCTAATTTTCATATTTTTATTAGAGATGGGATTTTGCCATGTTGGCCAGGCTGGTCTCCAACTCCTGACCTCAAGTGATCTGCCTGCCTTGCCCTCTCAAAGTGCTGGGATTACAGGTGTGAGCCACCCCCCGCCCCCAGCCTCCTTCATCTTTCTTTTTCTTAGAGACAAGGTCTCACTAGGCTGCCCACTCTGGATGTGAACTTCTGGGCTTAAGTGATTGTTCCATCTCAGCCTCCCAAGTAGCTGGGCGTACAGGGCATCCCGCTGTGCCCGGCCAGATTTCCTTGGAGTAGTGTCAGTGTGGTATATCTTTCCCTATCCTTTTACTTTTAACATCATTGTGTCTTTATATTTGATGTGTGTTTCTTCTAGGCAGCATATAGATGGGTATTGCTTTTTTTGCCCAATCTGACAAGCTTTGCCTTTTAGGTGGGATGTTTAGAATATTTACATTTAATGTGATTATTAAAATGATGGGGTTTAGATCCACCATCTTACTATTTGTCTTTGACTCAT